TGAAATTTTCAGGAACTGTCAGAATTGGGCCAAAGAGGACAATGGTTAGTTTTTAGTGGTGGTCTGGCTCAATAATCAATCAATAATCAATAATAATCAACAATTGCTGCCTTGGCAGAGGTCTGCACTCTCGGTGGTTTTCTAGTTTTGTTATGTTTTCCTTTACAATTTTTTCTCAAACACTTGCATTTGTGACTTTTAACTCTCATCCGCTCGAGGCTCTGCACATTTTCTGTATTTCCACATAAGCAATTATATTGTTTTTTATGTCTTTAAACATTATATAATATTATTTTATGCACTGTCATCATTTTTCAAATATTGAGACTTTCATCATGTGACTTTGGTCTCTCATGGTCCTGAAACTGTAATCTTATTGAAGGGGTGGATTGAGACCATCTTCTCGGTCTTCCGGAAGACAGTCAGGTTATTAAGTTTATATGGACTGGTATCTTTTTTTTCTGTTGGAAGACCATCAAAATGGAGGATGGATCAACATAGATACTTTGGAATACTGTCAGAAAATATCTCAGGGTCCGCTCCTGTAATTGACCATGTTACCTGTTGTGCATGATTAAAATTCAATGTTGACTGATAGTGCTATTATAAGCATTATTTATTTTTGCATCAAAATTGACAAAATGACCTTTTTTTGCATCTTTATTTTCTGTTTTTTGTCTGTACATTTGACAGCTTTGCTGCCTTGTTTTATTTACATTAATTTTTCTGTAGGAAATTTATGGCACATGACTGTAACTCCAAAATTGTAACATTTAGTCCCTTTTATCTCCAAACTGGCAAAAATACGTCCGTAGTTACTATTGAACTTGAATAGGAAGTCATATGCTGGCAATCTAACTGTGACCTTTAAATTGACCTTTGACCTACTTTTTACCGTGAACTGATTTTTGCAACGTTTCTGTTCATTGCATCTCCAAAACAGGCAGAGATATGCCCATTGTTACTGTTCAACTTGAATAGGAAGTCATATACTGACAATTTAACTGTGGCCTAAAATTGACCTTGGACCTACTATTCACCATTAGCTGAACTTTGTAACTTTTCTATCTGTTATATCTCCAAAACTAGCAGAAATATGCCCATTGTTACTATTGAACTTGAATAGGAGGTCATATACTGGCAATCTGTGATCTTAAAATTGACTTTTTTTTTTTATTTTCCATAAAAATATTTAAAACTCTAGACTGCATTTTGTAGATCTTGTCAAGCACAACACTAGAGGTGGTATCCTTTTTTTGCTTTTACATAGGAATGCGCTTACTCCAGCTGGTGGTACAATACCTGGAGGTGGTATTGCCGCTCTGATCCTCTAGTTTTCAACTGTCTTACAGTACAGTTATAATACACTGAGATTTTATGATACAGTGTGTGGTTCATTTGTCGGGATCAACAAAGACCATCTCGTCATCCTATAAGTTAGTGATTTGTGTTTTGTTTGCGCAGATGGCTTGTAAGGCCAATCTGTGAGGACTTGAAGAAAGTTGATGATGGAATGATTTGACAAAGGATAACTTGTGCGGAGACTTTGTTTAAAGTGAAGAAAAGTAGCACACTGTCAGCCTCACTCTCTTGTCGTAGACCATCTGTGTCTAGTGAAATGACAAGGTCAAGAAGACTGGAGATGGAATGCAGATGCAGTGGATGACCTGCAGGATGTGCTCTGTGCCTCATACTGCCGTCAGCATTCCACAATGCTCAGCTGCAATTGCCTTCCTCTCCGTTGAACCATGCAGGTTTCTTCTGCAGAGTCTGCCGGATCCAGTCTTCTCATGCTTGGGTAGCCAAACCCTAGGAAAATCATCAATGCTACAGTGTACAGTCTAATGTAATACACGTTGTTTTGAAAGCTACAGAAATGAAATTGTTGCATGTTTATTTATCAAATTCCAGGCAGCACTGCATTTGGCTGGATGAACCTACAAGGCAAGAAGAGTGAAGGTACTGACTTACACAGCAAGACTGCAGAGACGATAGGGATCACCAGAGAACAGGCTAAGGTAGACCAAAATTATGAAAAAGTAATACAATTAAGAATAATAATAAAATGATAAATAATTAGTAATAATAATAATAAAGCAAATAATGCTTGATAAATAATATATCTTACTGATGAAAAGGTCAATTTTAAGTCAGTTTGCCAGTATATACTATATATGACATGGTTTTAGTCCCTTCTGGTCCGTTCCGCCAGCTCCTGAAGGTGTATACTGGCAAACTGTGACCTTAAAATTGACCTTTTGACCTACTTTTCATCATGAACTGAAGTTTGGAACATTTTAGTCCCTTATATCTCCAAAACTGGCAGAGATAGGCCCATAGTTCTTATTGAAGTTGAATAGGACGTCATATGCTGGCAATCTAACTGTGACCTTCAAATTGACCTTTGACTTTCTTTTCACTGTGAACTGAACTTTGCAACTTTTCCGTCCCTTGTATCTCCAAAACTGCCAGGCAAAGATACGCCCATAGTTACTATTGAACTTGAATAGGAAGTAATATACTGGCAATCTAACTGTGACCTTAAAGTTGACCTACTTTTGAACTGAACTTTGGAACTTTGTATCTGTTATATCTCCAAAACTGACAGAGATATGGCTATTGAAGTTGAATGGGAGGATATATACTGGCATACTGTGGCCTTAAAATTGACCTTTGACCTACTTTTCATCATGAGCTGAAGTTGGCAACCTTTCTATCTGTTTTATCTCCAAAACTAGCAGAGATATGCCCATAGTTACTATTGAACTAGAATAAGAAGTCATTTACTGTCAATCTGTGATCTTTAAATTGACATTGACCTTCTTTTTGACATGAATCGCACTTCACAAATTTGGATTTAAACTTTTCCTCTTCCCCATGATTTTGTTTTAAATTGTAATTTTCAATAAAAATGTTTAGAACTCTAGACTGCATTTTGTAGATCTTGTCAAGCACAACACTGGAGGTGATGTCCTTTTTTTTTGCTTTTACATACGAATCCGCTTACTGCAGCTGGTGGTACAATATCCTGAGGCGGAATCGCCTCTCTGATCCCTTAGTTTCAAGTGTTTTACTATTGACTTGCTAGTCCATGGTACAACTCTTTGTAAATTGCAGCCATGTTTCTTTGATGTATTAAAGGTACATGTGAACCGAGCTTTGGTGGAGTGTGGATTACCAGATATACCATGACTACTAGTTTCTTATACAACTCAATATTGCAGTTGACATGCAGAATAAACTGAATAAATCACTCAATCAGCCATAAAAGAGCTTTTAATGTCTCCTTGCTTAAAATATTTGGTCATAAATTTGACATTACCTGTCTTATTTATCTGCCCTGTTTTTATACAGCATAGAAAGCTAGCAGAAAAACCTGTTTAAATTTTTTTTTTTTTTTTTTTTTTTTTGTAATATTAAACAATATCTTTTGGTATTTTTCTTAGCTTTACTATTTGAAACTATATGCTGGCATTTGGATAGCTTTTGTGGACAGAAATTGACATCATATGCATCCTAAATGCATAACTATGCATTACAGAACAGTTTTACCTCAAATTATTTTGCAGGTGTTCAATTATGGGCGCATTTATGGTGCTGGCTACAAATATGCTGTTGAACTCCTCTGTGAATTTAATCCGAAGCTCACTAAAGAGGAAGCATTAAAAAAGGCGTGTGTTATGTACAACGCAACAAAAGGGAAAAAGACAACCAAAAATTTTATTGATGAAAAAGGAAAGCAGTAAGTTAGTTTTATGCTACAGTTGACAATAATCAAATGTACTTTAATAAAATGGTGTTCTATATGGAAATGAAATCCACAGTAATTATCACATCGTTAATAAGATGAGTATGGGTTGTTTTGAAATTTTTATCTCTTCTTGTGATGCGGCTTTTAGCAAGTCTTTGGACATCAGAACTTTCTCTTTAAAAGCATTTGATCTGTTGTAAATTGTATTATTTTATGCACAGTACTTGTCACCCAAACCCAATATGGAGGTGCATTTCATGAGCTTAATTCTCAAAAAATAAAAATGAATTAATTCAAAGAAGTGTTCAGTTTTTAAAACATGTATAGAACAAAAATCCGTCTGTCTCAATTTTAAATGTACATGTAATTTCCATAATGACCTCTCATTACAAGAATCCTAATCGCGAACTTACATTATCAAATGTTACACATAATGTTCCACCATGTCTGGTAACAATGCACCCCCCCCCCCCCCCCAATAGTCTTGTTTGACAATTACTTTTGAAAACATCATTAGGACACAATTTGCTTCACCTATACTGACACTGAATTTTTTGTTTTAGTAAAATGTTTCTGCAGCTGAAAGTTTTGCATTTGTCACAGTAATCTGTTCCATTTGGGGGTTGGACAATGAATTATTTTTTAAACTCCATGGTTCCAGGCAATTGAAATTTTGAAACTAACTTCATGTGGGACCATGAAATTATTAAACATGGCTTTAATCAGTGCACTAAATACTTTTAAGAGTGTGCATGTGATATTATTTGCACCACTGTATTGGGTTTAGATGTTGCATGTATTGGATTATTTGATCATTTTGAAAATGTAAAGTTGCCTCTGTCATTTTAGAGTGAAAAAAACGAAATGGGTTGGTGGCAGGTATGTACTTTTATTTCTAAATGAAATAGCTTATGAAAATAGATGATCCATGTTTTAGGTAACTTAATGCACACTTCACCATTGTGAATTATTTCTGCCCATGTTTGCTACCCTTCTCCAAAACATGGGCAGATTGAGATGTTTCATGTAATGCCTTATCATCCTTAAAAACGATTTCAGAGATTGATTTGATTCTTTGCAGTGAATCTGAAATGTTTAACAGCCTGGAGAGCATCATTTCAGTCCCAGAGCCAAAAACCCCAGCCCTAGGATGCAAGATCAGCAGGGCCCTGGAGCCAGACAAAGTCAGCGATCATGTATGTGTTCATCAATATTTCTAATTAACTACATTCTATTCTTTTAATATATATATATATATATAGAGAGAGAGAGAGACTGAGACTTAAATTTAAAAACATTTCTGTGCTCAATAAAATTATTATTAAGAAAAGTTCAGGAAAGGTCTGTCTACAGCTTAGATTCATCTGTAAACATTACTTTTGATTTGGTATCTTGAGTATTTTGTACTCAAGTGATTCTAAAACATTCATATTATTAACCTGGCAGATTTAGGTCCCAGTAACTGTTTAGACATTATCATGATAATGCTAAAGTTGTCTTAATTGATGAGTTGTTATTTGTATTGATGGATATTTCCAGTTCATGACAAGCAGGCTAAATTGGGTAGTTCAGAGTTCTGGGGTGGACTACCTCCATCTGTTATTAGTGTGTAACCAGTGGCTTTTTGATAAGTATGGCATAGATGGGAGGTTCTCCATTAGTATTCATGATGAAGTCAGATACTTGGTGAAAAGTGAGGACAAATACAGGGCAGCACTTGCTCTCCAGATATCCAATCTCCTAACCAGGTGTATGTTTGCTTACAAACTTGGAATGAATGATTTACCTCAGGTTTGTCACAAGCACTGTTACTATTAGTTTCATATTAACACTTGATGCTTCTGTACTGTTCAATTGTAAAATGTTTGAGAAATATAGTAGTTATTTATATTAGGTATTAAATCAAACAGTACTGTAACTTGATACTAAGAATTGGTGGTTGTTATGAAATTGGTATTAGCAGTGATGTTGCTATTTCAAAAATCTTGGATCCTTTCAGTCTGTCGCCTTCTTCAGTGCAGTGGACTTTGATGTGTGCTTGAGGAAAGAGGTGGACATGGACTGTAAGACACCATCTAATCCAAGAGGCCTGAAGAAAGGATATGACATGCCTGAAGGTACACTAAGTGCTTCAGAAAGCTTAGCTCGAGTATTTTGCCATTAAGTAGTATTACACCCATATAAAGTAATTTACATTACAGCCATATAATGTTTTTTGTAATATAGAAATTATGTAATGTAGATTGAGTATCTGGTGAAGAAAAAGACTACTGACAACATGTTACTGTAATTACAAGAGGTGCAGATCAAAACTCGTGTGATCCTATGAGAAGCAAGTCTTGATTGAAATACAAAGTTCTCGGCATTTCATATTGTTACATTATTCCATTTTCAGGTGAATCTTTGGATATCTATCAGATCTTGGATATCACAAAGGGTTCTTTATCTCCAGTTTCCGAAGAAAAATCTGAACAGCACTCCAAGATAGAGTTAAAAGTTTAAGCAAGATTTTAAAGAACTACAAGTTGTAACCAAATAGTCATTGCTAGAAGACTGTTATATCTCTACAAAGCAGGATAAGGACTGCTGCACTCATTAGCCGTTCCTGATTCTTTAGAGAAGTTTTTGATTTAGAGCTTTTGACAAACTACCTTTTTTTACATTTGATTTTGTTAATTTTCATTTTCCACTGGTTATTTTACTTTGGGGTGAGGGGAAGTGGCACTTGAAGCCAAGAAAAGGGGTAGATGGATGTACATTGTTGTAATATTACAGTGTATGCCAATAAAACCTATATCTAGATTAGATATACTTGCAAAGAGTTTTACTTTTTCCATTGCAAATACAGTTTTGTACCACTGGCAAGGGCTGGGCACATGTAAAGGATAATAACATACACACACACACAAGGTGAAACAAAAATCGAAATTGCTACAGTTTTCAGTTTTGACAATGACAAACAGTGGTAAATGGGGTCAAGAGAGACTTTCTGCAGACTCTGCTGTTGAAAAACTCCGATTGTGCAATGTTTGGGGGAGCAAGGGTGCTTTCTTTTACATATGTGAATGCAAACAAAAATAATTACTCATGTGCAAAGATGACTGTCATTTTGTCAGAGCTAGCTTCGGGGACAACTGGATAATTGGACTGCCCACCTGACTGCACTTGGGCTTTACAAGGAAAAAACCATGTAAAAATCAAAATAAAATTGATGTATGACCTCATAACTTAAAGATTTAAGTTGCACAGATAAGAGAAGTTGTACAAAGCATAACTAAAATATTTTTGCATTGTATTACTAATTTATTTAACCATCATAAATGTTTGTCCAAAATCATAAATTTATAAAAAAAAAAAATAAATAAATAATAATAATAATAATACCATAAAATTGAAGCATAAGTTATTTGGTTATAGAAATATGCTCACTTGATCTCTGTAAATCTCAATTCCAAAAGGAGGCTCATGCCAATTACATACTGAATCAAGGCAAAATTAAGTGAGGTGTATGCAAACTGGAGAAAATTGTGACAATTTTTGTGCAGATGAAGTAAGTTGAGTGAACACTTAAAAATGAATAACAAATAAGTGGGATATATGACATAACGACTTCTGAAAAAGTGAATGATTTTTTTATGGAGGATGTGATATACTTTATAGAAAAAGTCATGCAATTTTTTCTGATTGGATCTGCAGGTAGGAGACTTTACATTCTACTATATAAATTGCAGAATATAGTTTCACACACCCCTCATGATTTGGCCTTTCTATAGGTTCAAACTACATAACTTGATGTGTCAGTAAAGACCATTCCTACCAGCTGCCAGTTTTAATAAGCTGGGTTTGATAACAGGAAGGTCTAATAATCAATTTCCACAACCCAACAAGCACACACTGATTGATGTGGCTTTCCATCCCAAAAATTGAATTGGGTTAGAATAATTTAAGCATGGACTGTAAATTAGGGAATTATCATCTAGACATACACAGAATTTGGGGAGGAATGCAGTATCATGCAAGTGGATCTTCATAATTGACAATGAGCATGTAAACTTCTTACAAGTCTCTGTGGTTCTCAGTCACCATCTAAACAAATAGAAATGCAGCATTTTAAATAATGACATTCAGGTCCTTGATATTTAGTTTGTAATGCACATAAAATATTTTCAGCAATACACAACTGAACCTTAACTTTGGTACATTCACATTCACAACAATATCATCTTCTAAACTTTAACATGCTTCAGCTACAATATCATATGGAATGTCAGATCAAGGTATCTAAATACATTTTCGTTGGCACATTCATTGAAAATGAAGGGTTAATGAGAAGGATATCATATTCCCAGCATGACATACACTTCCAAGTAGGAATATCATAACTTGGATTCATTATTTTTGTGTGGTAATTTCTTCCTTTCTTTTTTTTTTTTTTTTTTAGCCTGCATTAAATTTGAGCACAATTTAAAGAGTTGCAAGCTCTGCTTTTGTCAAGAACCAAATGAAAGGATTTCATCAATATATTGCACAGCTGCATTAATTTGTGATCTCCACAGGGGCTCAATTTATAGCATCATAACGTGTACCTGCAACGTTAACTAGAATATTTTCACCCTTTCCGCTTCTTCTACGTTTTATACAGACAATCAAGCCACCGAAAATGATGAGTACAACGGGGATTCCTAAGCCAACAGCAATAACTATGATAACCAATATTGAAATTTCATCCTGAGGAGGGGTGCCGTATCCTATACTTCCACTCCTGCAATAAATAATATTTTTGCAATTAAGGGCATCTGAAACTACCTCAATTAACTCAGACTTGTGTATATTTTTCAATATGCTTATTATGGAAAGTTTCCTTAACATATTTAATAGTATTTAATAGAAAGTACATATATCATCTTTTACTAGCCAAACTCATGACAGACTTTAAAATTTGAAAGTTGACCAGTAAACACTTACCAAACTGTGTAATTTGATTTTGCATAGAACCCATCTTCTGGAAGGCCAAAAGATATATTTGTAGCATTGAGTGTCATTGTGTTAAGCTGGTCCCCAAAGAAGGCCATGGCCAAAGACCTCATGGGTACCATACTTTTGATAACTGAATGATCTGCTTTCATTGTGTCATAATGCTTGGCTTGTGTCTGCTTCTGACTGCTGCGTTCTTCAGTCAAATACACGACAGGTTTCCACTGGAGATATCCTCCCAGCTGCTTTGATTCATCTGTATCACTGGCTAGTACTTTACTCTGTGTGGACCAATCAATCATCTGCAACATACGTAGTTGATTTCAAAATGAATTTCTGAAACTAAGATATTCAATACCACACTTTATTATTCTGTATCCAAATTCTGAAACATTTATTTTGTTAAATTTAATTAATATGGCAATTAAAATCATCTGTCATAAGAATGCTACATAAGTACATTAAAATATCATTGTTTACAGAATCACATCAGTTGCAAATTTTGGTGACTTTTTAGAACTACATAATGTGAAGGCATTATACATTAACTCGTTGGTTCTATCCTGTGTTCATGCATGTAGTTTTTTCATCAAACCTTAAATTAACAAAGAATTGGAGAAACTTACAAATCCTACCCACTTGCAGATTGTTTACTTTTAAAACTCCATTAGGAAAAAATTGCCTTGCCCAAACCATTCAAAAATGAAACCACTGATCAATTTTTAAAAGATAAACCTGCAATTCTAAAAAATTCCAAGCTAGATGAAATTTTGCTCAGAAGCAATGCATTTTTTAAAAATGCTACCTATTATGGTGGCCTAATGCACTCACTGTGAACACTCCTGGTGTGTACTCATCATCCAGTGATTTTGACTCCTCAATGTTTGTCATATGTTTCACTCCGTCTGTTCCCATCATAACAAGTTCTAAACCAAAGCGGGATTTTTCACAGAAAGTTGGCCAGTTGTTTATTAAGAAATTGAATTGAGTATCATTGATGGTGTGCTCCAGATGAGGTACCTCTGTGTTCCTGTCATGATTGCCAAAAAGTTTCCACTAAAATGGAAATACATGAACATATATTCTGTTCATCCACCACAAATTGGACTTTAACAGTGCTTATTATTGATTATGCTTTTCCAAACCAGATGATAATCAAAATTCAAATATATCTGAATATCCCAAAGGGTGTATAATTTTAAAAATCTAATACTAGTAGCTCACTTTAACACGTATCTAAATCACAATTTGAATTATAATTATTTGCTTTTTTTAATTAAATGACAAACAACAATAATATCACATTCTTCAAACTCCATTTTTCTATTATTTCTTATTCTACTTACATCAAAAGATATGTATGATTCATCAATATTTGTCATTGATAAGTTAGTCCTCACAGTCACAGGATTGTTTAACTCAGTGGTGTTAAGACCTTTCCATACAAACTGTTTGGCAAAATCTCGTATATTCCAGTTCCACTCATCATTTGGTATTGAAGTAAAATCTGCATGATCATTTGTATCATTATACTCATAAAGCTGGGGAAAAAACATGGTACAAATCAGTTTTATTTTTTCAAAGATGAATAGAGTAAAATCCAGTCATGCTGGAACATCATAGCAAAATAATTCTCATACTAATGCTTATGTAAATAATAGTAGACTTTACAATAAATAAATTGCCACTTACATAATTTATACACTCTAATGTTCTAATACTATTTGAAATAAACAATCTTAAAAAAATGATACAGCTCCACTAGTCTACATACCATTCATACAAAGAAAATATAAATTACTGTAACTAATATATCTTTACCTTTGTAAAAACAACAGCAAATGCATAGTTGACATTTGGAAGCTTTACTGAATTCTTCACGTTTGTGTCATTAACCGACAGGAAATCAGTCCAGCTTACATTCAGTGACTCTTGTTTTTTACCAGGAGTCTTTGCAACTAGAAATGTTGGTGCACCAACTGTACTGAAGAAATAGTGCAAGGTGTCATTTCCAACTGAATAAGCATACAGCAAGTTTGGGGCACTGCCACTGTCACTAACTCTTTTACAAATGGGATCATTCTCACAGCCTGGATTGTACTGTATTGATGAAAGCTGAAACATAAAAATACCAAAATTAAAGCAAACATTAGAGCATTACACAACTGCTTATCTATGTGCTAAAAATGTTAATGAAAATTATTTGCACAAAACTGTTTCCATCTTACACTTGTACTATGTAGAAGTTTACGCGCTGGGGATTATGATATTTAAGCTAAAACTTGATATAAACAGGCCAAAAGTGTCCACATCAGGGAAGATACTCACCTGCCATTTCGATGGGTTAATGAATAAAAAAAAAAAAAAAAAGAGTCACTTGCAAACATGGATTGGCTGCCGCGTTTGCAAGTGGCTCTTCTTGGCCAGTAATATTTCCAATAAGGGCCACTCGCCAATATGGCTGCCGTCCTGACAATATAAAAGTCTCGCTGATTTGTTAAGTTATATCAACAATACATTCTTGTAACATTGTTTGCTTTTATATCACCTTACTTTGTTGGGAAAGACTGTTTCTTTTGTGTAATTGCAACTGGACTTTTTTTTTTTTCAAGTGTATTGTGCTGTGTTGTGCTGTATTGTGCAATTCAGTCATACCACACTAGTTTACCACAAGAAAAAACTATCAAACTGGTATAGTACTAACACGTGTTTCTGAATTAATTCAATAAAATCACAGTACACACGCCACAGGAGATATTAGCAAATACAAATACATATCTACTGTGCTAGGTATATCAAAAAAAAATTGTGCCAGATATAAACACAAGTTATATCTTCTGAAAGGTTTTTTTCCAGAATGTTACACTTTTGGAATTTTGATATTACCTGTTAAATTAATAAAGAAAATATCACAGTTTTTTTTTTTTTAATAGAGATATTAGGGCAAATGTATCCTCCCATTTTAGCCAGAAAGCTGTGACCACTGAGCGCTTTTGTGCCAACTTAAAACATACTTTGCCTAGATCAATTTTCATGGGAGTTTGTTACATAAGTTCACAAATGTACTATACTTTCACAATGTACTGTACTTTCACTATGTACTATACTTTCAAAATATTTGTAAAGGTTGTTAAACGAGGCGCCTCAGAGGTCGCTGGTCATAGGCAGGCCAGTGTTGCTACAGGACATGCTTGACTGTGGCGCCTCTAGAGCATTCTGATATATCCACGAGGCCATTCAGAATGATAACAGCTGAGTGCTAGCTAGGCCAATATATGGTGGACCACCTCTCCGCCTCTCACACACCTTCCCATGCATTCCTCAACCAGTTGAATTGGTCAGAGATTTAATTACTGTTTATATATCAAACATGACTAATTCACACTATCCAAGAATGCACCACAAATCACAGACGCTTAACTGCTCTGTGTTCTAACTTTTGAAAGTTTTAGCTTAAACATCATAATCCCCAGCGCTACAGCATACTAGTATTACTGTTAACATTGCTGTTAGGAGAGTCGGTATTTCTGGCTGTTTAAACATAATCAGTTCGTGAGAGAAGAGTTTCATTAGCTCTGTATGTATAAATTTAAATGATTGTTTTTCTTTTTATCAAGAGCTTATAAAGAAAAACTTACTCAAATTTACAAGAAATATAACATCAAACTCACCATAAGCCAGGTTGGACGCTGAGACAAGCACTAGTAAAACCCAAGGATCCTCTAACCCAAGGAGAGCAATGTGGGGTGATTTATTCGGTCAAATGTGGAACCTGACAAGGAGTATACATTGGCAAGACAGGAAGACCATTAGCCACAAGAATGAAAGAACACAAAGACTCAGTGGCCAAAAACAACTGGAAATCAGCCCTTGGAGAACATACCTGCAAACATCCAGGTCACCACATTGATTTTGACAGCCTGAAAGTAATAGACAGGGAAAACTGGACATTCCAAAGAAAAATAGCAGAAGCTGTACACATCAGGACCAAACAACCAGACCTGAACAGACAGGGGAGGTATGATTTACCAGCTATCTACCTCACGGTGCTTCAGAGGGATGCAGAGGAGCCCCGGGGGGAAGATGTAACAGTTATAACACAAGGCCAGTGATTAGGGACAATTGACCTGGATTTTCATTCCAGGTGAAATGACCGTAGTCATTTACTCCTGATGATGGTGACTGACAGTCACAGGAATATTGGAGGTAAAACCTACATACTAGTACATGTATTTTATAAGCACTTGATAAAAAGAAAAACAATCATTTAAATAATCAGTTCGAATAAAACGAGCTTGAAAGGCAAAGGTCCATAAAAATATATTACCTTTCGTGTTGCTTCTGTACTGTCGCCATATATATTACAAGCGAGCACACAAATAAAAGAAACTAAAATCAACGTTCGACCCATTTCTGTAGCAGGAACACTCAAAGTCATGTGATGTAGAAAAGGTAGCTGCACAACACCGATGCTATGTGGTAAAGGGGAAGATGACGTCATAAACATAAAAAATACCGACGTGATGGTTACATAGGAAGGTCATACAGGGGATATTCCAAATATGATTATAACATTTATATATGTTTTGTGACGTATACTGATATTGACAAGATAAACGGTAAGTTCTTTATCAACTACACGCCAATAATTTATAAAAAACAGTCAGATCTTATATGAACTAACGTCGCTGACTTGATCAGCTGAAAAATTGATTACGAAAATGGGAATCTTAGCGTAAGTTAAAGCATATCTTAAAGTGAAAGTATATATAAATTAATAAAGTCCTGATGGAATAAGGAATATTGAATAAAATAAGGAATATTGAACGGCTAACAACTATTATGTAAATCAGTTGTGTAAAACTCGTTTTCACACGCGCTACATTCGGCCTGTCTTGGTGTCTTGTTTGTATTTCTGTCACGTAAGTTTCTTGGTGATGAAATATTTTGGTGTATTCGACGAGACGGTTCATCATTATTCGATACCAGAGTAACTGCTCATAGCCTTTAAGTGCCCTTTTCAAGTTTTCCTTCGTCACCGTACTGTGAGAAGGCCTTCGCTTGCAATGGAATAAATTCTCCTCACAGGCTCGGTGTGTACAAATTCGGCTTTCTAGTGTTCACGTGCACATTGAGTGGAGGTTTTGATTGGTTGCGAGGCATGAATGAAAAGGTGGTCTGACAATCACACCACCAAGTCTTCGACCTGTTCTCAGCCAATATATTAGAAAAGCAAACATTGGGAACAACCATGGGTGTTTTCAGTGATTCCTGAATTATCCCAAGTAGTTTCAGTCGCTTACCGAATGCAACACAAAAGCAGACTTCGTTTTGCGATTCCTAGGTGTTAGACCACATATCGATATTTTATAAGGGATTTTATTTGTCAAGCACATATTTTGAGGTTTGCAAGAAATTTTGCGCGTTTTGAATTTCAAAATGTTTTTCTCTCAGACGGATTGTTATACAGATCCAAAGGTAATTTACAGAAAAGTTGTATAGTTGCCATTTACATTGTTTTTGTCAAATTATAGTAAAGCATCTGTTATTTTAAAGTAAAAGTTAATTGTAGCTTACTAGTAAACATTTTTTAAATTTTAATTCCCAAGAAGTGTTGAAAATGGAACAACAACAAGAGAATTCAAGGTGATCAGTGTAAAATACTTTCAACAACAACAAAAAGAAGCAACATTGGTGAAATTAGATAAAATATTTTTTCGTCAATTTGTGAAAATATTTATTAAGAAAAATTAATGCTTGCCTTGATTTGTTCCCACTTTTTTGAACTGTTGAATTTGGTCAAAATAGGAATATGTTTCTTGTTTTAACTACAATTGATGGGTGATTGGTTATATCTGAGGATGTCTTTTTTTTTTAAATAGGTGTATGTTTTATTTTTCAGCTGCTGAAATCCCAACTAGTGAGCGGCCCAAAGATGTTAACTTCAGTATTTCGCCGCTATGGTTACATGTGTGCCTCGCATCCATGGGAAGTGATCATAGGCACAATTACAGTGACAGTTTGCCTGTTCTCTATGAGTTTATTAACCGGGAATGATAAAATATGTGGATGGAATTATATTTGTCCCAAGGAAGAGGTTTGTAAGATGGTTTGATCCTGATTTCAGTGATCTAGGTAATGCACAGTGCTTATTGCAATCTTTGACTATTTAAGCATAGACATTCTTTTATGCAGGTGTCTGAAAGCTTCAGATATTCTACTTACAAAGGGGATAGGTTTATCAAAATTTATTTATTTTTTTTCCAGGAGGAATTTTACAGCTCAGACATTTTGATCCTAGCCATAACACGCTGCCTTGCTGTGATGTATATTTATTTGCAATTTCGAAATCTCCGAAAATTAGGTTCAAAATATCTTTTAGGTATGTTATAGGACATAAAATGGGTATACCTTAAATTTCTTAATCTTATACTGTAATATTCATTGATCAAGAAAAGTTTTTGTAAATGTTTCTAATATAACTTCTTAAATTGCATTACTAGTAATTATTTGAATTGCAGTATTTATAATACCATAATATTGAAATGCAGCTCCTTCTTGCCATAGATCTTGACCTTGTTATGAAACAACTTACTTTCAAACTATCTATTGAAAATGCCAGTACTATAGGGAAGTTGTTTACCTTATTGAAGCATTATTGATTTGTGGTCTAAATAAAGGTCACTTTCTGGCTGCAGACCATGATGATGTAACATCTGCAAACATACGGTTTTTCTTAAATTATGGTCTGATTCACAGGCTTTAATATTTTTATGTATCTTTATTGGGGATTTGTGTCCAAGCAGAACAGATATCTATTATAAAGGAAAGTGCTAGTATAGATGAATTATCTTTATTTGCCATTTCAGGCATAGCCGGGGTTTTTACTATATTTTCAAGCTTTGTGTTCAGCAGTGCTGTTGTGAACTTGTTGGAGAATGATTTGACTGGTCTCAAGTAAGAGTTTTGGCACATTTGTAATCAGTGCATTTTTAAGCATATAGCATATACTGGTATTTGAGAAATCGAGTCTAATTGTTTCATGTAAGATGTGTGTGTAAATAGCTTCTTTTTTTTTGGGGGGGGGGGGATTAATTTCAAAATTAATCTGGACTGCATTTGTTTGGTGGAAACTTCCGTGTGGATAAGTTGTTCTGTACAATTGTATTTCAGTGAGGCACTCCCATTTTTTCTTCTTTTGGTGGATCTGTCAAAGGCCAGTGCCCTGGCAAGGTTTGCACTTAGCTCAAAGAACCAGGTAAGATATTTTTCATGAAACTGTATGGCATTATTCAGAGAGGTAAATACAAATAACTGAAGAGTGACTTTGAGGAGTATCAACACTTTTCAAGGTTTTTGACATTTGTATTTATTTTAATGTTCAGAGTATTGTCACAGAAGTATTTTAATTAATTGTTTTTCTAATTAAAATCATCATACATATTTTGACATTTTCAGATCACATGTGTCACTTTCTAAAATGTTCATGTGATTTTAAAGGTATCATGTACATGATTTAAGGCATCCCAAAGTCTTTTTTCCTGCAAAGTTTCTTTTCTTTCCCAATTTAAAGCTTAAAAACAACAAAAAGAATAAAATTGTATATTTGATTTGATATGTGATACAAAATTCCACAGTACATCATTAAATTATGAAAATAATACAAACCATTTGATCGGAGTGCAAGGAGGGGTTGAGCAATGAAATTTTTTTTTTTTTTCTGGGGAAAACTAGATTTGTTTTGCAAACCCCTTGCAAGATTCTTGAATTTGCATGTGCTTGCAAACATCTGAAAATGGAACTGCAGCATTAGTCTCAAAATTGTATGAAACACAACATGATCTTTGAAATACTAGGCCTGGAGGGTAGGGTCTGGAGGTTGGTAGTTTTTTTTACCTAAATTTGGAGACACTTACTGAGGGGTAGATGCAACTTTATTGGGTCTTGTTGGTGAACAAGACTTGTGCTTGATGAACACTTGAAACTTTGCTAGCATAACCTTGAACATTTTGGCATAACGCTGAAGTTATCAAGTGCATTAAGTGTGGGATGATAGTGGAAAGGGCACAGCATGATCAGGTGATATTACCTTACGAGGTCGTTGCTGAGGCATTTGTGTTGTTGTGACTACCTGCAGGCATTCTTAATTAATAAGAATTGCATTTGATTAATGCCTTTCATTAATGCACTTTTGTTAATTTTTTTTTACACATTTGTGTGGATGATGCTTCTAGATCTTTGGTTCAGGCCTTTCTGTTGACGCAGTCTCTTTGAAATGTATCCTAGGTATACTGCTTTTTTTGGATTGTTTGATCAGGTTACAGTGTTGGATCAAATTTATTTGCATATGAAAGTAAGAGTATTGAATTATCCAAGTTCATAAAAGCCAACAAAATGAAAATGTTCATTTAAAAATTTTAAAAGGTTGAGAGATATATAAGCATGAGCTATTTCTTTTTAAACAGCTCCTTAACCACTGCCTGCCTTTGATAGATGAATTTTATGATGCATGATAATAGATAGTCTTGACAAGACTAAAATTTAGACAGGTTAGGGCTATACAAAACAGTTGTGTGAAATAGAACTTGTACAACTTGGATCAGAATAGATGCAAGCTTAAGGTTATTTCCCAAGTTAGAGATCATGATGTACAACACCCCAGCATGACCACTCAAGCCAGCATAATTACAATTATTTCTAAATTTTTATTTTCAGGATGAAGTATGCAAGAACATAGCCGAGGGCATGGCTTTACTGGGACCAACACTTACCTTGGATGCTATGGTGGAGACCTTGGTGATAGGAGTGGGCACACTGTCAGGAGTCAAGAGGCTGGAGACCATGTGTTGCTTTGGCTGCCTGTCAGTAATAGCCAATTACCTGGCTTTCATGAGCTTCTACCCTGCATGCCTGGCACTTGTTTTAGAGGTAATTGATTCTATTTGGGGAAGATATTTAGGGATTGGTGGAAATATTGTAATTTGTTTGAAGGTGATTTTCTTATTTGTGACATGTTTCCTTATTGTATTGGTTAAATAGTGAACTTATGTGTTGTCAAAATATCTGACACATGTGGAGGTAAATAAGTTGAATAATGCTTGGATCCTTTTATTTGACATAAATATATCAAAAATTTGTTGTTTTAAAACAGCTTGATTTAAAAAATGAGCAATGGAAAAAATTATCAAGATTGTGATTGTTTTCTAAACCATGTCCTTATGATAATATTTGTAACATGTTATTTCAGTTGTCTAGAGGACGTAGTGGGCACACTCCAATGTGGCACCTTCACCAGCAGTTTGTTAAAGTTCTGAGGGAGGAGGAAGAAAAGAAACCCAACCCAGTGGCTCAGAGAGTAAAGTTGATCATGTCTGCAGGACTGGTTATTGTCCACACCCACAGCCGTATTACAGCTGACCCCAATGTCGCTACTAGGGATGTGGTCAGTTTTGACCCAACTCTGACTGACCTGCCAAGGAGAATACAGCCAGAAGCTTCGTTGTTGCAGTTTTACATTATGAAGTAAGTAGAATTGAAGACAGTGCTTTTAAAGAATGTTTTAAGAGACTGGAAAGACAATAATAAAAGATAACAAGGTTATAAAGACGACATTTAAATGGTGACCTAGTGTTAAATAAGCTTTGCTTAATATCTTAAGTGAGTTTCATGACATTTTTGTACCTGCTGCTTAAATGTCATATTTTGATAGAATGCACACACCATTTAGGGTTTGATAAAAGTAAATAATAATTTGATATTTATCTTAAAATGCTCTTGAACATTTTGTTTCCACATTAATGTTATATTTATTTCTTTTGCAGAATGTTTACGGCAAATGTTGATTATGCTGTAACACTTGGCCTAGCTATCATTCTCGCATTCAAGTATATCTTTTTCGACACTGACATTGATCCAAAAAACTGTGTGAAAAAAGAACAGGAAGAAAGCAGATGTAATGAAAATAGAAAGAATGAGATATTGCAAGAACCCATACAGGTGTTAACTCCAGTGAAGGATGACAAAATTAAAAAAGGTGCGTACAGTGATCGATAATGATTAGATGTTACTGTAATTTGTGAGCAAGTATAGAGAAAAAAATAGGTCTTCATATTAGAAAATAAGTGCCACTTATAAGTAACCAAGTGTTCAGAATCTTTAAGATATTGTAAGTCTTAAATATATATTTGCTTAAGATCAAGTTTGAAACAAACATAATTTATTATTTGCAGAGATCACAATGACTGAAGGAACAAGTGATCATATAGATTTTACTCTTGGAGAAAGTAGCTCTGAAGATGAAACAGAAGAAAAAGAAACACAGACAGATTTTACAAGTAACTTTGAACCTTTGCCAGAAATAAAGATAAAAGAGCCACCTCGGCCACTGGAGGACTGCTTAAAGATTATGAAATCAGATGTAGGTTGATATACTTTTAAGATACAAAACTGTAAGTTTTGTCAAATTCTTTTATTATAATCTTGGGAAGTCCATTAAAGGTACATATGGGCCGAGCATCGGTGGAGCGTGGATTCCCAGTAACACATGTAAACCACTTCTACTAGATTCTTATATGACTCAAATAAATTCGACATGCCAAGGGATAAACTGAATAGACCACTCGATCAGCCATAAAAGACCTTTAGACTGCTCCTTTCTTTAAATTTTTGGTTGTAAATTTAACCTACTTCCGTGACCTACTTTCCTGCCCCATTGACATACAGCTTAGAATGCCAGCAGAAAAATCTGTTCAAACATCATTTTCGGGTAAAATTAAACAATGCCTTTTGGTAATTCTCTTAGTTATACAACTTGAAACTATATGCTGGCATTTGGTTGGTTTTTGTGACAAAAAAATTGACTTTGTATGCATCTTTAAGATATATAGTGCATCAAGGATTTTTGTTCATTTAAGAATTAAGATATAAAGTGCATCAAGGATTTGTATTCATTTAGGATCATAGAAATTGTATAATTTTTGCTGATATTTTTCAATACATAGGAAGGACCTAGTCAACTAACAGATGAAGAAATATTACTGTTAGTGAAATCCCGCCATATTCCTGCCTACAAGTTGGAAAGTACTCTTGGGAATCATGAAAGGGGAGTTGCCATAAGGTACATTTCATAACATTCCTTTATTTCTTTAATCTGCATGTTACATTTTGGTGAAGATTGTTCTGTCAGGAATAGCATATAACATAGTGATGTGTTTCAAGGTTTGCTTTTTTTTTTTCAGGAGAAATCTTGTCTCAAAAGGTCTTCCAAACACCAAAGCAATGGAAATGCTACCCTATACAAATTACGATTATACTTATGTAAGTTGAGAAAGAGTAATAAATCTCATTTGTGAAAGATAAAATAATTTGAAAATTGGTTAAGATTAACATCTTGTAAAGGAAATATTTATTTTTAATCAAAAATAAGCACATAAGCCATGTTTATTTTTCTGAATATAGTTATAGCAGGCCATCTTTAAACAGGATAATATCTTCCAGCAATAAAAGTAATTTTATCTTGAAGGTTTCATATTAACCATATTTTGGTTGCATTTCCAGGTTGAAGGTGCATGTTGTGAGAATGTAATAGGCTATTTGCCCATGCCAGTGGGTGTAGCTGGTCCACTGGTTTTAGATGGTCAGCAATACCAGGTTCCCATGGCAACTACAGAGGGTTGCCTAGTAGCCAGTGCAAACAGAGGTTGTAGGGCTTTAGCTGTAAGTGCATTCTACAATTAAATGTGAAATGATGTAGAATGTATTTAAGAAAGATGTAGTTTGAAATGCAGTGCATATTCCATGACTTACTTTGACTTATCATTGAAGCAATCAAAGTTTGAATCAGTTGAATTAGTTGAATAGTTTGAATTAGAATATTTACTTTGTAAGTTTCAGTAGCAATGGTAGAAAATAAGTTTTTTAAATTATTAAAATGCATTTATATTTGTACTATTAGTAAAATGTTGCATGGACTAGATAAAAATCCTTGAAAAAAAGAAGCAAGTTAACAAAATGAGTTTAAGACTACATATAAAGTAATGTGAAATTAGTGTTTATATTTTGCTTCATGTATGCCCTTTTTTTTATAGGGTTGTGGTGTGAAGAGCATGGTAATAGGAGATGGTATGTCCAGAGGGCCAGTAGTCCGGTTTCCCAGTGCTCAAAAGGCCAGCGAACTTAAGCTATGGCTCAACAATAGGGACAACTTTGATATACTAAAGGAAGCATTTGATTCTACTAGCAGGTAATAGAGTTAATTATATTATTTATTTTTATTATTGAATGGGATTTGATGGATTTATCTTTTTTTTTCTGCTTCTAAATACATTTTAGATGCAGATACTAAGACCCGTCTGGCTACAATTTGTAGTGTAGTAAATTTTCTGGATTTGAAGTCAAACATGTTACTGTCTTGTCAATTCAAACTTGCCTTTATTTTAACAACTACAAAACTGGAATTAAGACCCTTAAGTTGTAATTTTAAAAATGTGTACTTATTATTATTTTTTTTTTTTTTTTCAAATTTGATGACAGGTTTTGTAGACTAGACAGGGTTCAGTCAGCCCAAGCAGGGAGACACTTATATATACGCTTTGTGGCAGTAACTGGAGATGCCATGGGGATGAATATGCTATCTAAGGTGATCAGGATTTATACATAATCTATTTTGTCTATTTTTTAAACAAAATAATTACACAGAATTTTATTCTTTAACAATGCAAATTAGACAAAAATCATTGCAATTTATAAATTTCCTTCATATGAAAGAAAAATATATTATAATTGATAAATTGCCTACATATATATAAAAAAAAAGATTTTGTGTACATATTTTATCAAAACTGAACAATTATGAAATGCAAATTTGGGAAATGAAATTTTTGTGTGTCTGGTAATTTAAGCACATTTTGTGATATGTTTTAGGGAACAGAAAAAGCCCTTAGTTTTCTCCAAGATAAATTTGAAGAAATGGAAGTTATAAGTCTCAGTGGGAATTATTGTGTGGACAAAAAGGCCTCTGCAATCAATTGGTAAGTAAGAAGATGACAAAGCAAACTTACAGTGTACATTGCTTTTCGTGGAATAAGATGAGAATTTTTTTCTGTAAAATTGAAGGTTTTTGCCATTTTGCCCAGTCATCTGTTACAGTTTTCAGTCAATCGCATTGAGATCTTTGTTCAGCAGACTTGTTCTGGAAAAGTGATAAGGTAATTCTAAAGAATCAGAGGTTAAATACCTCTGACTGCTGTGAAGTTTGGATGCATCTGTAATTTTTTGTGTGCCCAAATGAAGTGTTGTAGACACTTTATCCCCTTATCCCCAATTTATCTGCTGGTAAAAAAGTACTATTATATATGGGGGGGGGGGGATTCTTCTTGTGCAATCATTCATATTTTTATTACAAAGTCTTCATAATACAAGTCCTTATATACAGAAAAATTATTAATGCATCCTGGCATCATTACATCCATGGAATGAACTTCCCAAAAATTTATTTCAGGATTGAAGGTCGAGGCAAATCAGTTGTATGTGAGGCCACAATTCCTGCCAGCACAGTGCGCAATGTTCTCAAAACTACCACACAGGCACTGGTAGAGGTGAACTTGAGTAAGAATCTAATTGGTTCAGCCATGGCAGGCAGTATTGGTGGTTTCAACGCTCATGCAGCCAACATAGTGACTGCTATTTTTATAGCCACTGGTCAAGATCCAGCCCAGGTGGTGACCAGTGCTAATTGTATAACTCTGATGGAGGGCGTGGGACCTCACAGTGAAGATCTCTATATCAGCTGCAGTATGCCTTCCATAGAGGTGGGCACTGTGGGAGGTGGGACTGTGTTACCACCACAGGCTGCTTGCTTACAGGTATGGCCTTTTATACACGTAGAAAAAAAGGGGGAGGGGTTAGAAACAGTAGGTATTCCTATTTTCTTTGCATAGATAGCTTTATTTGTTTCATTAACCTCTTTGCTCTTTGTCATACATTGTGTACCAATCCTTGCAGTTGGATTTACTCTAAGTATGTTTCTGTATTTCAGATGCTTGGTGTACATGGTAGTAATGGTGTGGCAGGCTGCAATGCTTCCCTGTTGGCCAGAGTGGTGTGTGGCACTGTCCTGGCAGGAGAGCTGTCTCTGATGTCTGCACTTGCTGCAGGACATTTAGTCAGGAGTCATTTAACACATAATAGGTTGGTAGTTTATATGTTGTGTATTTTACTGATATCATTTACTTTGAAGTTTAGAAGCTTTAATGTTTTTATTACATGTTTTAATATTTCAGTATTTTGATTTCTATTATTATTTTTGTCTTTTTTTTTTCAAGACAGATGGATAAGAGTGTGCTTGCTTATATCTTTTTTACAAAGAGTGATTTGGTGATTACACATCAGCCATATAAGCAAATTAAGGCACAATGGTAAAGTAGAGTACCATCTCTGCAAGAAAAAAGGGAATACCTTTGGGATTAGAAAAGTATTCAAAAAAAAAAATAGAATAGTATGTTATGATGTACCAGTATTCAATAGAATACTGTGCTTTTCTATTATATATATTTTAAATAACTTACATTCTTGTCTTTTCAGATCTTCAGTAGCTATTAACCTTAGTGCAACATTACCAAAGAAAACCAGTACAGAGTCTGATGCTGGAACGTGTACATCAAAAGCCTCTTGATGGGCAATACATCTTAGAAAGTGACAGACCATAAAACTGCTTGCAAACCAGTATTATGTCTTAAAAAGTACATTTAGTACAACAGTGATGATTTATCAAAATTTGAAGGATTCTTCAGGGGATTATCATGATGGTATCGACAATATTGTTGGTACCACTAAAAGTTCACTATGCTAAGAAATAGACATAAAGCATTCAACATTTTTATGTACAGTCACAGAGGTGACTGTAAGCATTTTGCAGTCACTTGTATCTGTCCTTGTGGAATTTTTAGGGGAAGGGGAGCTCATTTGGTTGTTCTTAATAAGGGTGTTAAATCAAAGTTCTCTTTCACATGAAATATGATCTTTTGGTCTTTCCTGTATGGCTGGTAAAATCACCTATGAGATAAAGTTGCATTGACCTAAAATTGTCGGTCAATGCTGGGAGGATCCCAATTTGTAATTTTTTTCCATTCAATTGTGATTTTAGTACAGGTAATTCCCAACATTAAATATACTACGTTATGTAGGAAATCTGTTTTCTTTCATTCTAGCAGGGGTCATTTTAAGGCTTAATTCATTATTTTAGCAAAAGCAAAATGCTGCCTTATGTAATTTTGTGTTAGAAACATAGGATATTGCTTATTGTTCAGATTTAAATAAAATCTGGGCTGTATTTCGTCAACTTTACCTGGCTTCTTGTGTAATTATTTGAAAAAAAAGCATTGCAGCATACTTCAAATAATATTCCAAAGAATGTAAACGTGAAACATGCGTAAGTATTCCTCAACAAAGTGTCTTGCGAATTGATAAAATATATTTGCTCATAAGAACAATTTGTGTCGACTTCTTTTCCCACTATTTCACGGGTCCCGGAGTTAACATTGTGTGCTGGAGGTATCCTAATTTGGCGAGTCGCACCCACCGAGTGAAAGATTCCTTCGTAAGTTCAAAAGGCTGACACCTTCATGTCGTCTCTGGCAACAGCCCGTTTTCAATATGTGCTTGTGATATCAAAGATTTTAGGATTTGAATTACCAAGGAAAAGAAATAGCAATTATCAGTTCGTGAATATATGTGACCAATGAAGATGAGACTAAGGTTTCTATTGGAGTTGAAGAAGAAATGCTTCATCGTGTTTATGTATGAATACAAAAGTCGCGTTTAACCTGACCTTGAGTGAAGGATGCTAAATTCGTAGTGTCAAAAGGCTTTTACCCCTTTTGTTTTCGGAAACTAATTGCGTATAATTGTGTACAACATAAGTTTGATTTTTGGGCCAATTTGTGCATTCTCGGTGGTGTTGGAGCTGTTTTTGACATTTTAAATAGTTCTTTGATTGCTACATGCTTCATTTTCCTGAAATATTTTACAAGGAAATTTTCAATTTATTTCATAACCACGAGTCCTGCTGTTAATGCTGAGAGTGATTTATAAGAGCACTTATAGACAGCTTGCAACTTATCGGTCACTATGCCCCAAGCTTGCTTCGGAGCTGACTCCTTTTCTCTCGTATAACCAGCGAAACGAGGATTTTTTAAAATACCAACGTCCTACATCTACATACTCATATAAAACTATCCTCATCTACTTATATTTCCTGAGTGAAGCGAGTCAATTCTTGCATACTTGGGACCCACCCCCTCCAACACACACCAGTAAGACTTATTTATCAATTATGTATGACAGCCTTAAAATTCTATTGTTATTTCAAAATAACTGTTCAGCTGAAGACGGTTAATATCTACCGAACAAAGACTTAAAAAATCGCTGGCAAGATTTTGGAGTACTGAATGGTGTCATTAAATCGGCGTTGAAACGGTGATCGTGGGTGCTCATATAAAAGAGACCGATTTTCCGTTTTTACCTCAAAATCGCAATTATGACGTCACCCGTAAGATGCTGCGTAAATGTTAATTAATTAAGTCATTGAACACTGAAAAATTATCCATTACCCAAAAGAATGTATGTAAGGCAGTAAATAAGGAGTTTTGGGCGAAGGGTGACAATATTCTTAAACAAATTTTGTAACATCAAACACTGTAGGAGTCCGTTTTTGTTGAAATTTGTGTTTTGAGTACTTGTTTTTATGTAAAGTCTACTAAAATTTAAATGGATTTATGATTTAAGTATTCGGGCGCTGCCGCATAATGAATATGCAAACACAGCAGGCAGTCTTTTTCAATATCAAATAGTAAGCCCCTTTCAGGTGCGATGGCGCGTTAAAAAAGCAAACAGCACATCACTTGTAATTTTGATCATGTTTTGAGTAGGCCTACTGGTTGCTGTTAGCAGTTTCAGATAAATTATCAACTGTAATGTTATATTGATTTGTGTACTCGTTGCTACCAACAGCAAAGAATAAAGTTTTTGTTAGGGGATTGTGTTCATCAAACAAGGTAATTCTTAGAAGGGGACGGTTTCACGAGGCTATTATTGAGAACTGTATCAGACAGCAACCAAGTGTAAGACAGGTAAGTTTGTAAAGTACCTCGTTTGTTCTAGATTTTACAGAAAAAGGATGTTGTATGGTTAAGTGGCATGCTTAATTTTGATGCATCAGTGTAACCAAGGTATGAAGTTTTATATCAAACTTAGCTGACAAAATTACCTGCGTCTGTAGTCAGTGTCGCTGTTGGTGTCGCCGTCCACTGTCTTGGATTTTTGGGCTTGTAAGCACAATAGAAAGAAAAGTGTATTACTAATTAATCGCACGCTCACAGGAATAATTAATAAAACAGAAATACAGCTCGCATTCGAAAACCCACCTGAATGGATTAATTTTATCAAAGTTAGATATAGTTTATTTGCGAAATTTTTCACACATTTCCATTTTACTGATGTTAAGCCTGGGTCACACTGCGCTTGCAACCTTTTGGCAACCTCTTTGCAACCTCAGTCGCAAGGAGGTTACCATAGGTTTTAAAGTGGTCACATAAGGTTGCTAGCAAGTCGCCTGCGATCGTTGACACACGGAGGCCATTTTTTGTGCACCGACAACCAGTGCGACTAAAGATGAAAGTTATCGGTATCCTAAAGGTTGCCTATCGGTCTCTTCTTGGTTGTCAGTAGGTTGCTATAACCGGTAGCATACCATTTGCAACTGCACGGTCGATTGACCGTATTTAGTCGACTGGTCGCTTACAAGTTTTTTACCAGTCGCAAGTAGTCGGCAGCAGGTCGCCAGAAGGTTGCAGGTTAATTTGTTATGTAAGCCTTCTAAATATCAAGGTCACAAATTATAATATTAAAAAAAAAGAAAACATAAATTGCATTTGTTGGCAATATTTTATACCAGTTGCCAAGGCTTTCATATACCAGGTATTTCACACTTACGAAACCAAAAAAAAAAAAAAAAATGTGATGATAAAAGCAATTTACGATTTTTTGACGCTACGTTTATTTATTTCATCATTTTGCGAAAATCATAGGTAAAATGCCGAAAACCTCAATTATATATCGCTGTATGTTATTTAAAATTTGCAAAGCCATATTATCAGAGTAAACAATGAAACAAATACACGAATGCAGAGAAAACGGAAAATAAAAGCAATTTAATCAGCAAGGTATAACTACTATTTAATATCATAATTTGAACATCAAAATTATCCACAAATAATTGAACAAATCGTAAAATGTGTCCAACAGACTTAAATAAAAATAGTTTCAACACAAACAATTTAACATCTTCCCAGTGCTTGGTATCCTCACTATAAGGATGAGAGTGTAAAAAGTACACGATGCGCATGACTTGTCACGATTTAATTACGTTGTATTGTAAGTGGCAAACGCCTAGGGTTGAAAAGACAAAGGGAACACCACACATTCGGTTGCAAATCAGTTGCAAAGCAGTCGGCGACCTGTTAGCAACCGGTTGGATACCACAAGTAGGTTTTTCGGTCGCCAGGAGGTTATCGGTGCTGCACCGAAAACCGGCGCAACCGGATATTAACCCAGCGTTCATTTGGAAACCACTTTGCGAGTTGTTGCAACCGGTCTCCGACCTTTTTGCAACCGGTGACAGTTGCAAGTCGCAAAGAGGTTTTTTGTTCAGTGTGACCGTAACTGCACAGGCCTTGCGACCTCAAAGAGACCAAGTATTTGAACATGAAAATATTAAAGAGTATTATGAGATTAATAAGGATTTAAACATTTGCAAGTTCATGTTTTTATTGCAGTACTGGTTCCGTTAGGTGATGGCGTAGTCTTTCCAAAAGTTCACAAAACATTGTTAATTCTATTTTTAGGAAGGAAATGAAAACTTCCTGATTTTCAAGTCGAAGTTCTTTCATCAAATGTTTGTAATCGCCTTACAAGGAGCGTCTTGCAACACACGGGTTCACCCAGTATTTTCGAGTTTTTTTACTCGTTTTACTTTTTAGGTAAACAAAGTCAATGATTACAGCAGTTCCGTCTTTTTGAAAAGGAGTCGTTTCACTACAATCTTTTTGTCTTTTGAGAGAGGAATTTATGGGAAAGCAGCTACTGTCACAAGTTGGCAACATATATGTTCTGTGCGACCTTGCTGCTACCAGTTGACAAGCGATTGCTACAGTCCTGCAACCGGTTTTCGGTCACCGAGTGGTTGCAGACAGGTTGTGTGTCGCTCGGCAAACAGTGTGCGACTGGTAACCTATAACTTGAAGATGGTCTATAAGAGGTTGCAGATACCATACTACAACCTTGTTGCAACCGGTTTGCGACTGCTTGCCGATCAAAATTGGCCACAGCTTCTTAATTAGCTTGCAAAGTGATCGCAAGCGACCGCCAGATTTTGTGGTTGCAAAAAGGTTGCAAAAAGGTCGCAAGCGCAGTGTGACCCGGCCTTTACTTCGTGCTGTCAAGGGTCTGAAATCCAGTACTAAATGCAACTTCCAAATGCCCACAATAACAGTCAGTAGTACATAATTAAAAGTTACTTGCAGTTGTGATTGTTCTGTAGCATTATGTTATTTTGCATCCAAAATAGTCCAGGTGAAATGTTAGGAACATAGACATTTTTTTTCCTATGACTTTTTTTGGTTATTCGGGCTCTCATGGGGCCCTAAAGCAAATTGAGCTTGTTTTGCCATTTTACAAACATTGGACAATTATAGATATCCAAGATTGGCCGCCAATTCTAATAACAAAAATATAGATCATTGCATATAAAAGGCCCTTGATCTTGGCTGATACCACTATTTCAGCCCAACCATGCACTATTAATGTGTTAATGTGAATCCCTTTACTGTTTGAATTCATTCTGGTAGGCTACCCTTTGAAAAATCTAAAATTTTTCAGACAGAATTTAGAGCTAACTACAAATTTCAAATGTTTAGATGATCATTTTCAAATCTCAACAATATGCAACATTTTCAGATCTCAACAATATGCAACATTTGAGACTATTTAAAGTTTACAGGACGGTCAACAAATCTGTAACATCCATAGTCGTGTTGCTTTTTATTATAAATTTTCTTAAAATACTAAATTTAATCACTTTTCAGTCACAATTTTGATGTCAATACATATTGCTAGTGTTATATTGGGTTTTGATCCCCATGAATAAAGTTAGTACCATATTCTACACAATCACAATTTTTTCCCGAATGGCCGCCAATGCCAATTAAGAAGCATTAATTTCCATAAATTAGACCAATAATTTTGGTCACAACACTATTCAAGCTTATTTGAGCACTAGAAATATATTGATGAGCCCCTTCTTAATAATTTGGGTATTCTGGTGCCATTTGGCCGATAACAGCCTGAGAAAACACAAACAAAGATTTAACAAACGATCATTAGACGCCTTAGACTGTGCCGTGCTGGTCGTACAAAGACAGTCAGTGGCAGAATATCATTCAAACGCCCGTTTCAAGGTCCCTCGTGAACAAGAGATTACTGCAAGCCGGTTATTTTCCACGAAGACGAGTACCACTGTTAACAGCAGGTCATATACAGCGACGTCTGCAATGGGCTGCAATGGGCTGGGGACCACGTGTGTTTGCAGCCAGACCACTGGAATCGCGTCGTTTTCAGTGATGAACCCAGATATGGAGTATTTAGGGTTGACGGTCGAATCCGTGTCCGCCAGCGTGTGCGAGAGGCATATAACGATGATAGTGTACTGCCTGGGGTGCAAGCAGTTCGTGGTTGCGTCTCTGTTTGGGGAGCATTTCATGTCGGTGTCCAGAACCAGTTGGTTTTTCTAGAAGGCAACCCCAACCAGCGTTCCTACAGAGACATTCTTCAGCAAACAATACTTCTCTTCGTAAGAACCATCTTCAGGAACAACTCTGTGTACCAAGACGATTACGCACCCCGACATCGAACTAGCAGAGTCGCTGCTTTTCTTCAAATCCAAGAGGTTCTGCAACCGCCCTGGCCTGCAAACTCCACAGATATGAACCCAATTGAAAATCTGTGGGCGGAAGTAACTCGCACAATTAATAGCTATGGTCATCAGCCGGTAAATCGAGATAAACTACGACAGGCAAATATCACTGCGTGAAATGATATCCCCATCCAAACTCTGAAAAACGGGGTATGCCTTGTAGGGTGAGGGTGCTGCAAGCGGCTGCTGCAGGTCATACATGCTATTGATTACTTTTCATGAGGCTATCATTTTCTTTAATATCTTAGCTTAATGTTAATACTGACATCAAAATGTTGATATGGTTTTCTGGAGGTGTTCCTTTCTTTTGAATGACATCTTATGTCAGATTTGATATTATTGGCCAAAATATCTCACAACAGAAGACTGGATATTTTTATCACTCAATGACATACTTTATTGATGAATAAAGCAAAAAAAAAAATTAATCTGCACTCAAAAATAACAATGATAAAAATATTCCATATTAAGTATTAACCCTGTAAATAGTACAAATCTACATTAAAAAAGCATTCAACTAATGTGAACGAACGGCTGTGGTTCTGCGAAGTTTTCTCTAAAGCTATGTTAGAAAACTGTTTTAGTTGGATCGCTACTGAAGAAGCTCCTATGCATACGTTTTCGTAAGTAAGTGGTGTATCGCGTAGGTAAGTGGTGTATTGTGTAGGACTTTGTTCATGCCACGCCTTTTAAAGCTAACAATCAGTCTCATTTTTTTGTATTATGATCTTTAAATTCCATCGTTTCATCGGGCAAATTCTCAGAAGAGTTTAGTTTCATTTCAAATGACTCACAGGTACAGTGTACTTAATCGTAAAGCTTTATTTGTCCTTATAATTTAATAACAGATGCATTAACACGATATATATATATATATATATATATATATATATATATATATATATATATATATATATATATATATATATATATAGTAAAGAGAGTAAATGCCCATTACGTATAAAACACATAAGTACTAGTTTCTTACACAACAAAAATACAATTCACATGCTCATAAAACAACATTAAGAAATTGGCAGCAGAAAAGAAACAGCTCTGAAACTGCCCCTTTAAGGTTGTAATTTCATCCTACCCAGTTTCCCTACAAGTCCTTCAAGCTCACGAATTGAGCAGAAAGATTTCTAACGAAATATTTTTGGAAATGATTTATCGATCCTTTTTTATCTTTGGTTCATAATATTTGAAACTTTATGGTGGGGCTTATCAGCAATAATTTGACAGAACTACCAGATCGATGCGATTTGACAAATTCTGTACCATGTTAAATATTGCGAACCCTTGTTTTCATGCGCAGGCCTAATACGCGATAAACCCCAAGCTGGTTTTTGTTTATTAGCTTTACACGCTGTTGCGCAGTTGGTTTACAGCAGGCACTCTTTTTTAAAAAATTCAAAAGGTACGTCCTTTCAGGTGCGATGACGCGTTAAAAACAGCACATTACGTGTAGTATTGATTGTGTTTTGGATACTGCTTGCTGTTAGCAGACTTATATAAAGGAGTTCTTGGAAGTGAAAGTTTTTTCTAGAGCTTATTGATTGAGAACTATAGCAAATAGGAACTAGCCCAGCGGGCAAATTATGTTGTTTTAACGTTGAAACAACGTTGAACCATAACGTTGAGAAGACATTGGATAAACGTTGGATTTGAAAGTTGTGTCAACCTCAGACAACAACGTTGTATCAGAAAACAATGTTATATCAACCCCACCCAGCGGGAAATTAGCCTGGATGTGTTTAGCAGTAGGACATGTTTGATGGCTGAATATATGTAGGGTATAAATTAAGTTAAAAATTCCAAGGTTTAGATTAATATATATAGTTCTTTTCTTATATATATATATATATATATATATATATATATATATATATATATATATGTGGCCTGGACCAAATCTAGTCCCATGCATAAAAAGCCCAGACCCCATGTTTATTACGCCCTGGCTAGGCCCATTCTTTACATGGTGTCTTTGCGTTGTTAACAGCATAATGGGCTAGTTAAATGACCAAGTTAATTGACCAAGTTAATTAGCAAAGCTGCCAGTTTGTTTGTATGGCATGTGCAGGGGTTGTCTTAGATCAAGGCACAAATGAAGCCCACCTTTAATTTAACTTTTCTTTAGTAAATGTTACTAAATCACATGTCTTTTCTTTAAACATTAAACATTTAAAAGTATCATCCTCTGATGTATTTTACAAATCACAGGTAATGAAATACAAGTACATCTCATTTGCCACACCTGTAAGTATCATAATATGTGCCTTGATCTGAGACATCCCCTGCACATGCCATACAAACAAACCGGCAGCTTGGCCAATTAACTTGGTCATTTAACTTGCCCGTTATGCTGTTAACAATGCAAAGACGACCTAAAGAATGGGCCCAGCCAGGG